GCCAAAATACGAAATAGAAAAAAGAAGAAAAAAATTATCGGCGACGGAACCTTCCTCCTTCTAACTTTCGACTTTTGGCGTTTTGCCAAACTTTCGAGGATGAAGAAATAACGTCATTCATTACGTTTCCTAGGAGGGAGAAACTTGAGATTGTGATTGGTGCAGGGTATCTAGTTCGACTAGAGCGCAAGCAAATGATCGTTCGCTTACCACGTGACTTGCAGCTGCCTGTGTGTATCACGTGACGCGTCTTATCGAAGAAAAAGTACTTAAACTTCGACTCGAATCGCATAGCAATTATTTATGTTTATGATATAACACCGCTCATTTTTCAAGTAATTCGTTTTTTAAGTGATATTGTTTATTAAGAAAATGTCGGCGAAAAAAAACCGAACAACGTTTAATAAGAGTTACACAGAACAATTTCCATTCATTCAATCGTCAAGAAAAGGCGGAAGTTATGCGTTTTGTTCAACGTGTGCATGTGATTTTTCGATTTTGCATCGTGGGAAAGGTGATATTTTGAAACATATTCAAACAGATAAACATCAGCGTAACTCAAATATTCTTTTGAGTAACAAAAAAATTGATCTTAAAGTTAACGATGACCAAAGTGTTATCCGTGCCGAAGCATTATTTACATCGTATCTCATTGAACATAACATAGCCATCAATGCATCTGATCATGCAGGACCGTTATTTAGACGGATGTTTCCTGATAGTGAAATCGCACGGAAATATGGATGTGCGCGTACTAAAACTTCAGCAATAGTGAAAGAGATGGCGAAATCAGAAAAGGAAAGTATTGTTGAGATACTTAAGAGAAGTCCTTTCTCAATAGCTACAGATGGCAGTAATAAAACTGACTGCAAATTATATCCTATTTGTGTTACCTATTATAATGAGGAGTTATTGCACATAGAGACTTCACTGTTGTGTTCACCAGTGTTATCATCTGACGGCACTGGAGTCAATATAGCAAATCTGTTATTGACTGCTCTGAGTGAGTGTAATATTGATGTCAACAATTGCCTAGCTTTAGGGGCTGACAATGCCCCTGTAATGATTGGTAAGAAAGCTGGGGTTGCTGGAATTTTAACAACTAAAATTCCTGACTTATGTATCATTGGCTGCCCTTGCCATTTGCTCCACCTTGCTGCGGAAAAAGGAGCAGCTGTGCTCCCTGTATCCATAGAGGAGTACATAATTGACATTTTCTTTTTTTTAGACAAAAGCTCTAAAAGAAAAGAGAAGTTGAAGCAATTTCAAAAATTGCATGACACAGAAGTAAGGAAATTGTTTAAACATGTGTCAACAAGATGGCTCTCTCTAGGCCGATCTTTAAATAGGCTGCTGGAGCAATGGGAGCCACTCCTATCCTTCTTCAAAGAAGAACTAAAAACTCAGCATGGAAAATGCAATGCATTAAAAGACTATAGAATTCCAAAAAAGGATAATTCTGAGGCTGGTACCTCGAAAGTTTCATCTACTGGTGCTAAAAAGAGAAGCATTAACTGTGAGTTAAACTCATCTAACTCAAAAAAGTTTAAATTGAGCAAAGACTTCAATGATACACTATCTAAGAGTGTTTTATCCAGAGAGGAGAGAGTATTTATGTTTTTATCAAATGATGTAAGTAAGTCTTATTGCTACTTCTTAGCACATTGTTTGCCTATATTTGAAGAACCCAATATCCAACTTCAGTCAAGTTCTCCTCAGATCCATCTACTTCATGATCTTTTATATTCAACTTTAAGAAACGTAATGATTCGCTTTGTCACTCCTACAGCAATTAAGATGTGTACTTCTTTGCTAGATGTAAAATATCATTGTAAAGAAAATCAGAAGTTGGATTCAGATTTAATTATAGGACAATCTTCATCTAAAATTGTCAATACTTTAAAGTTAGAGGAAAAAGAAGAATTTTTCCAAGCAGTTAGAAATTATTTCACGACAGTTTGTGATTACATGATCCATAAATTTCCATTCAAGGATGACATACTTTTAAATGCTAAGGTGTTAAATTTGAATGGGATTGAAAATGCTTCATTTTCTAATATTAGATTTTTCTGTAATAGATTTCCTGTCCTCACAAAGCTTTTTAATTTTGAAAATACTGATGCTCTCTTAGATGAACTGGAGATTCAGTTCTCTTCTCTTCAGCTAGAAGATTTGCCCGTTGATGTTCTTTCAGAAAGTAGAATGGATGTTAAGTGGGCAAAAGTGGCCAATTGCTCAAACAGAAAGTATAATTTATTATGTAAATTTGTCCTTTCACTTTTCACATTGCCACATAGCAATGCAAGCTGCGAACGGGTTTTTAGTGTTGTAACAAAGACACAAACTCAATTTCGCTCTCAGCTATCAAGTGAGCATTTGGAGGACTTATTGACTGTCAAGTCAAGCATGAGAGCTTCTTGTTTTGAACAAAAATTTTCTGATACATTTTTAAAAAAAGCAAAATCTTCCACTTATAATTCTCTTAAGCAGTAAAGGGTTCTGAATAGTGATGCTAAATTAACTTTTATTAATGAGTTATGTGTTTTACTTAAATTTATGTTGCAGATTGAACATAGTAAACATTGAAAAATAAATTTAAGCATAATTTTTATGAATGATTATTATTTTGTGAATGTTTTTTATGCTTATTATTTTATGAAATATGAATAATAATAAAAATATTTTGATTGGCACCTATCAGTATTGGCAAGTTATCAAATTTGTCTCAATAGATTGTTCATAATGAAATTTTTATCTTAAATTTAAGCATAATTTTTATGAATGATTATTATTTTATGAATGTTTTTTATACTTATTATTTTATGAAATATGAATAATAATAAAAATATTTTGATTGGCACTTATAAGTTATCAAATTTGTCTCAATAGATTATTCATAATGAAATTTTTATCTCTTGCGCTATGCCGCAGTTGCGATAAAAAAAATGTCCTGCTTTTTATTTTGGTAAGGTTGGCAAGTCTGCAACTAGATAAGAAACATATATGAATTAGAAGGTTCATTTAGTAGATGTTTGAAAATAGAACATTTCAACCAGCAAATCGATAAATAATCATTTGAAATATCACAATCATAAGTATTTATTTTAGTATTTAGCCTTAGATGAGACTAAGCTCATAGGGTGAACGCGTGCAACTGCAATTTTTATGGAGATAGAATTAGAAAATTGTGCTAAAAAAAATAAAAATTAAGAAAATCTAATCATAGTTGCTTCAGAAAATATGGAAGGAGATTTATGAAAAACCAATGGTGAACCTATCAAAATGTATGTAAAAATTTCTACCTTTCTTAACATTTTAGTACCAAAATCATGAGAAAAAATTATTCTAATTTACACATTAAAATTTTGTAATTCCAGTATAATTTTTCAATGACCCTTCATTAGACTAAAACTATTAGTTAGATAGCCATACATTTGAGGAGAGACTCAATAGAACTATTAAATTAATAATATGATAAATTTGAAACATGTAAATAATTTCTTTACTTTGAAATTTTGCAATCTAATGACTTCCTTTTATAACGATCTTTTTTCTATAATCAGCAATATATAAAGTCCTGTCTGCTATTTCACAGAGACAATGTTATTTTGATAGTGACAGAAATTTTGTTAATTTAAAAAAAAAATTCAAAGAAATTATTTAAACTGCTATTTCCTTTGATGTTATCACAAATTTTTTTTTAATGAAAGAAGAATGACACAGTCCCCCCCCCCATAGCTTCTTATTTAAGACCTATGATCAAAAAGTTATTGATTTACTACACATTGTTGATAATCAAAATTATATATTTCACTGACATGTAAAAATCATTCCCACATTCATTTAAAAAGATGCATTTGCAATCTGCGTAAATTTCAATTGAAAGGGCACATTAAATGTAACAATCATATTTCTCTTGTTTTAAAATTATATAAAAAAAAAATTGTAATAGAAGTTGTTTATTTTAGAATTAAAACATTTGGTCTTTGCAGTGATTCTGACCGAAAATGACTGCCTCGAACAAGTGTATTATTCTTTAAGGCGTATTTATTAACATAAACTAGCTGTGTGCTTTTTCAACTATTTCGTTAGTTGTCAAACTCTTAAAAAAAGTCTTGTTAGCATGAGTCTCCTATTTTTTAGTAAAAAGAGTAAATATTTAGGGAATTTTGTACACTCACTATATAACGACTGGAAGTTATAACATCTGGTCAGCAATTATATATGGCGTTACGGCTATTGTAAGCAAACAATATTTTTACCTGAGAATCATATTCCAATAAGAAGAGGAAGACAACATCTTCTCTCTGGATCTTGATTGCTGTGTGTAGTATGAATTCTGTTTTAGCTTTAAACATTTTATACAATAAGGAATCACTCATATGAGCAAAATCTT